CTGTCAAACAATCTATGCCATCCATCAATCAATCAATCAATCAATCAATCAATCAATCAATCAATCAATCAATCAATCAATCAATCAATCAATCAATCAATCAATCAATCAATCAATCAATCAATCAATCAATTCATCAACCAATTAATCAATCACATCACATCAGCGTTTGTCTCAAAAAATGAATTAAATAAACGTAAGCAAATCGACAAGTTCAGACCCTAACCTGCAGGAGCAGACGAGCTGGAAGCACAACCATACAGCTCGATTCGCAAACCTATTTCCTTAGTCCAAGCTGTTGGATTTATTCGAATGCGTTTTGCATGGATTGTTGGATCAAGAGGTATGACCGCTACTTTGTTTGGTGCAGTATTGCCCTTCAGAATCTAAAGTGGAATAATTCAGACGCAAGTACATGTCGTGAATATTATTAATTGAGAAAAATTATTTCTAGCTAAGGTTCAACCTTGCTAACTTGACGGTGATTGTGAGCTAAACGTTTGTGCAGTGATTGGAAAGGAAAAATTGATATAAAATTACACTATGATACTGCTTTGCTCTGCTTAAGGTTTGTTTGGTTTTCCTCTAAGTTTCTAATGGGTCGACATTCATTGTTCATCATTCTTTCCATTTGAATTCATCCATTTGGCTTTTCGATTTTGTTATTGTTGTTGTTGCTGTTGTTGTTATATTCGTCGTTGCTGTTGTTGTCGTTGTTGTTCGTTTTCTCAGTTGTACTTTCTATATTCCTATGTTATTTTAGTGTCCTTTATTTCTTTTCTTATCAACAGTTTGTTGTTTTTTACGTTTCCTTAAGATGCGTTTTCATTCCTCAGACGCTCTTGCGATATCCTTCAGTGTCATTTTCCCGGCTATATATCCTGTCATTTCCTGTCACTTCCCTTTTCTCACTTCTTTACGGAATAACAACATATTTCAACAATGTATTCACCTTTTTTCCGTTCTTTGTTTTGTACATATCCCATAGTACAGCATCATCTAAGCTGTAGAACAGRCGAAACAAATTGACCCACGAACCGGTCACAGGATTTCCTTGCATGTCMATYCTGGTGATTTCTTTGATTCCATTCAAATTGACCTCTATGAATTCGTYAAAGCCATWTCTAATAAATGTCAGATCAAACTGGTTATTGATTCACGAGGACAAAACTCGTCAAAAKTATGAGCATGAATGATGAACAGAGCTTGGATTTCCTGCACGGGACTTAGTCATTACACTGGAAAAAATCGCGCACTTTTAAAAAGGTCATGTAAATTTGATGTAAACATAATGTAAGTGTCGAAAATGATTTAAATATGATGTAAATTTACTGTAACTCATTAATATGATTCATAAGAGCTACACGACTCCAACGCGAAATCCTTGACACACTTGCMTTTTTTCCCGAGCAGCCGGTACTTTGATAAGAACAAAAAAAATACATGAATCGATTCGAATGCAASCYTATCTTTCCTGTACAATGTTGTCCTGGGTAGTAGTCTCAGAGCTTGACTATAAAGTGATTCTTCATCATTTTACACTACTTTTGCGCGCATCATCAAATAAATTCAACCTCAATCTATGGATATTAGACTGATAATTCAGTTCGCTGTGTGTAGTAAATTTTCTCACTCATCACGGATCCGACGGGTTTTAAAGCAACAAACCGAAAAGTCGAATCACCAGTCCAAGATGTACGTTACTGTAGCGTTATGTGGCGTTTACGCGAAGGTGGAACGCCGGCCTAAGCTACTAGTAATACATACGAATGAAGCGTACACTGGGACGGAGTACTGAATGTTACTTACTTGTACTGGCTTGCTGGTACCCAGGCCTTTGGGCCATTAAGTCTTCCATCACTTGCAACCATTCCTGACGCTGGTTGAGACGATGCTCKAATCTGATTGTTAGGAAGAGTACCGCTGGCCATWCCAAACGYTGTCTCACAGGAAGCTCCTAAAACAAAACATTTCATATKYTTATCAAAGGTTACTATGGAAACAATAAAATCGTGAAGCTTCTTCCTTTCTTCTCCCTTCCCATCAACCTCTTCGTGCGTATCGTAAAAAGAGTGACAATTATGTGAGTTCAAAACAGTGCTGRAAAAATGTTAATCCAGAATCAAGAAATCAAAAACTTATCAAAGAACAGCTTTGCTTACGTACATTTTAATTTCTTCAAATCGTTCGCAAGGTTTTGATTTATCATAATGTTATACTAACTCGTCTAAATGTTTTAGTTGGCACTGAAGAGGAAAAGTGCAGCGACGCCATTTTGTGCAGAAAGCATGAAGGAGATGTAGTCCTCGGACCTTGTCAATTTAAGATAGTTAAACTAATTYCATGATAGCAAAAACGTAGAAACCCGCTTTTGGGGCACACGGAAAACTATACCTCCCATCATGCTTTGTTGTATAAAATGGCGCGTTCAAATCCAGAGTCAATCAAAGTTTAAATGGCAACACAGCTAAATTGAAGCATCACAATATGTTTTTATGCGGAGTCCCGGTGGCGTTTATGACAGAGAAGGGATATGAAGATGTATACTATGGCAACAACGTTTACAGGAAAGTGAGTGAAAAATCGTCCTYCTACAATAGCTCTTCAATTGCTGATGCAATTTCCCAGTTAAAAATCTAAAAACTTTACTTACTCTTCGAGTAGAACTTAAGAGTGTTGTATTCTGGTTTTCTGAGATACCCAATCCTTGACGTGCCATAAAAAGGTGACGAGTAGTTGAAGGAAACTTGAAGAGCAATATGACCTTCGTGGATTTTCCCCTTGGSTTTTGATTTATTGGGGTCAATTGTGAAAGTTAGTTTATAATCCACRAAGTCGGAGTATTTTAATGCWGSTGTCTGYAATAAAAAGAATACTGGCATGTATTTTAACAGATAGCAGCCGAGATGCAGCCGAGATGCAGCCGAGACTATCAGTGAAGTGACGAACAWGTTCCGAAATTYATCCGACACTAAAKACTTACCCCAAGAATCCTTGCGGTCGTRGATGAACTCGTGACGCTCACAGAGACAGAATCCGAATGGTTTTTCGCCATGGCGTTGTGTACCAGGAACTCAGGATGAAGAAGGGCTATATTTGCATTGATGACTTCTGCTGATGTCTTGTGAGGGTCGTGAGTTACACGAACGTGGATATCAACTGTTGTACTATAGAAAAAAATCAACGTGAAACGATGAGAAGATTAGCCATAAGGTCAGAAAATGCTTTGATATAAGGATGAATGATTAAAAAAATATTAAAAGTTATTGATTCATTGATTTGTTAATTAATTCAGGACGAGTACCCGTCAAGCAGTGTGCCGTCTTGCTCCATCTTAGGAATCTTCAAAGAGGCATTGAGAACCGGTTCCATGTCGATGCCAGCAAACCTCTTGACAGCATGTTGATGAGCCCAAATGGACGAGTTTGTAAACTCGGCACCCAGATTTATCCACAAGTCTTCACCGTTACAAGCTAGAGGATGTTCAAGGAGTTGAGCCTGAGGTACAAATAGCAATGTTGAGAAAACGCAGTTTACAAGAAAGTAAGTGAGTGAGTGAGCGAACGAGTGAGTGACAGTTTTAACCTCTCGATCTTCCAATAACTCTCTCATCATGTAGCACATTGTCCAAGGTACTTACGTAAAAGCTCATGATAATATCAACAGAACCAATCGGTGTCACCTGACCCAAGTCTAAGGACACAATGTCAATAATGTTTTCATTCTTCGCTGAAGATGTCATGTTAGGCGTTTTACTGCCGGTAATAGAGATCTGAGAGTCGTTGACACTCATCTTGTACTCCAGTATCCTCATGTAAGCAGAGACATTAAAAGGGACTTTGATTTTAAACTTGAGAGGTGTCGGCTCGGTAACTTGGGTTGTGAGGACAACTTTAACGCTTTTTCCAATGTAGAGGAACTCATCAGAAACACGAACTGAAAACTTTGGACGATCGGCCTGAAAAATGCAATGACAASTCACKTGACTTCCTTCYCYAGCAGGTAGTTAATGGWCGTTCGKACGGTGGTCGTATATGTTACTCGTATGTGGTCATATCTACYTCGTGTGGTAGTATATTRYTCTTATTTGGTCGTATGTTACTCGGTAAGTGGTCGTATGTTATTCGTATGTGCAGATATAACTCGTATATACCATTCTTACTCGTTATGTGGTCGTATGTTATTACTCTTCTGAGTGTTAATATCCTTCTTGTGTGGTCGTATATTGCACTCGTATTTGGTCGTACATTACTCGGTAAATAATCGTAAGTTGCTCGTTTATGCCCGATAATCACCTATATCAAATTAAAGGGACACTGTCAATGGCACGCATGCACGAGTAAACTTGAAAACATTAGGCTAATGTATTCAAGTTTTTGACTCCAAGTTGGCGCGACATAAATCAGCTCGTAAACATAAACAAATCTAGAACATTCCAAAGTGTGTCAAAAGCACCACAAAATGATTTACCTCGAAGGTAATACTTTCAAAGTCCGTTAGAGGCGAGACTGTTACTGCGCATGTCATCCATTGACAGTGTCCCTTTAAAAGTATTATTTATAAATTGTATGGCGTCACAGCCGTTGTCAAAATTTATTTTCGTAACAGGTAGTAAGGAAGTGATACTTGATATTTTAATTAGAACACATTTTGATCATCAAAATAGTCAAAAACCTGAGTAAATAGAGTGACAGTTTATTGAGAAAATCCACTTTGGCATATTTTAGCTCGGCCGAAATGTGTATAAATATTTCATAGAGCGAGTGTTTTGTGAAACTTTTTTTGACATAATTATTTTAAATTGTCTCAATATTCTTGAAGAGTTCACGAAAGTATTKTTTTTCCTATGAATTTTAACAATAACTGTTCTTTCTTTGTTCTTTTCAAATCGATTCAGTTATCCCAGAAAAAAAACGGAAAAAAGAGTTGACACTGAATATTTTGAAAACTAGTTTCAGCGAATCAATCGGTCAATGTTATTCAAGTCTTGGTCAGTTATTAAAACTGGCTGAATAATGAGAAGAATGAGATTTTTTTTCGATTTTTCCCGCAAAATTTACGAAAGAAATATCATAACTTGAAGTCCCTGTTCAACTACACGGAATATTATTTCTACTATATTTGGTAGATAAAAGTTTTACATTTTCGCTCACGAATTACGAAAAAAACTGTGTTTTAAATAGGAGTTTTAGTTTAGTTATRAAAATATTAATTTCATTTTTACTGTTAATACAAATATCGCGGTCAGAATTATTCCATATTTATAGAAGGCAGCTCTTAATTATGACAGTTTTCAAAACTCAATTTAAAGGACTTAGTTTGAAAAGCTAAAAACACTGTGTTTTTTCGTTTTTAAACACTCACAAACCTAGAGAGCCTTTCAGAGCAAAGTTAAGAACTAAAACTTAGCTATTTCYAAAAAAGTCAGAGCTCGAATTTGACTTTGTGGTGATTTCGACAAGTTTTCGCACTGGTCCGACCTTGTCCAKATTAAAAATTAAAACATTACATACGGYACAATATTGAATTTATTAGTGGCTTTAGCTTACCTTTGTTCCACAAAAGACTGCACAGAGAACTAGGACGAAGAAAGATGTAGTCTCCATTTTTCACTTCTTCATCAAACAGGATCGGCTCGATGAGTGRTGCACCTGCAGTAGTTGCTGTAGTTACGATGACTTTATATTGTCAATAATTAATACGAACCTTAATTTACAATTGAAAGGAAAAGCACTGTTTACTGCATACATAATAAAGGCTTAATTTTACATTTTCTTAGCAATCTATATGTATGTATAACTACATGTATCACAACTACTGAAACCGTACATTTCAGTTCGAATTTGTTATATTATAAAATCTCAGCATTGTCGGATGTATTTTTATCTCCGTTAGGACTCGCTGACTGATTTAGGACATTTAGTGCACTTYCAACCTAATGACTTTTGGATATAGCAGCAATTTGATGCCCGAAATACTATATTTATCATTGTATAATAATTAAAATATGTCAGTAATACTTTATTTTATTATTGTTTATCACGTCGAGGATATGTACATGCTGAATTGATGGAAGGCTTTTTGCAATACATTTATCGAGAACAGTGCCAGTTTTCCGTCACTCAAATTTTCATGAAACCGTTTCGTCGTTCATTTGTGAGCTGCATATTTKTTTTTCTTTTTTCTTACTTATTATAATCCTATGAAAACCGCAACGTGACTTCCTGAAAATCAGCCGTTCTTGGCAAGACGGATGCTTGACTTGCACTATCGATTTTACGTGTCTCAGAAATTTCATTAATAATTCATAAAACCCATTTTCCCAGTTGAATATTATCGATTAAGTTGCTATTTATACAAACACAATCCTGTATAAAGATATTCATCGAGAATCCTTGTACATGATCAAAAATTTAAAATGGCGGCCATAGATCTAGGAAATCATCAATCAAATAAAGGCTGGCTCTGAACATAACATGACATAAGCGTAAGCACAGCTATATTTTAAGCATAAAGCGTGCTTTCACTCAACATAAGCACAAAAATGCAAGAAAATGTGCTTGAAACATGAGATTTTACTTTTGACATAAWCATATAGGAATAATAAAAACGACAATCAGTGTTCATTATTGCTATGTTGATACTAGTCCAATAGCTAGGTTTTTCATAGTTTTGTTTTCTTTATGTTATGCTCATGTTTATCGTTATGCGGCGCTTAGAGCGGATTTCGATTCGTATGAGTGGGACACCGTTACCGCACGATTACCGCACAGCCTGTTACCGGACCTGGCCTGCACAATTTTGGTGAGCCAATGGGGCACTAGAATTTGGTTACAGTACGATTACAGTCACAGTACAGCACCGTCCGTTTCCCACTCATACGAAATCCGCTCTATTAGCGGTCCGCAAGACTTACACGAGTACAGTTCACGCTCGGAAAATTTGTCAGGTGATGGCATTCTCGCCTTTTTTATCATCAAAACTGTATATTTTGGTAAAACACTCCATGGCTACTAGTCAAGAGGTGTTAACTGTTCATACTTGCGATGCAAAAATAAATGCAATGGTCACGAATAGTCCATTTGATATCCCTTAATCTTTTTGCAGTATAGCCCCGGTTCAATAATAAACACCGAATTTCTATATTACAAAAAAATATATTTTATTCCCAATTACGTCTCAATAAACAAGATAATTACATTTTAACACAAATGAACACGCGAGTTCTTCTTTCGGTGAACTGAAAGATAAAATTCCCAAATACTTTTCTGTCTAAATTTCTCTAAATATTCTCAAAATAACATAATGCGATAAATAAACGAAGGTTTCCCAGCCATAAGAATGACATGGAAAGAACATTACTAAAGTGATTAYAGTTTGTCCTAAACTCCGAACATGAACATCTTAAGAAAGAACTTTTCTCTACTTTGTATATTAGTAGATCTACATTTAGTATTACCATACTAGTGGACTATTGCAAATCCTTCGTTCTGATTGGCTACGCTACTCGGGGTCTATTATCAATAGTCCTCGACTAGTGAAAAGCGACAACTTTTTGCGTATTTTTAGCAATAAAAACATTTAGTTATTTATACATTTCATTCACTTTTTGTCCAACTAGTATGGTAATACGAAAACAGTTAGATCTCTCGGTCTCATAGGCTATCAGCTCGTAGTCAACTCAGTCGCCCTCGAGATATAATAGATGAGGTGACGGTTTTGTCCGCCATTTTGGACCGGTAGGCATAGTGTCGCAAAATAACAAGGAATGACCGGGAAATCGATGTCAAATAATTCTCGCTGAATTCAAATTCAGAAAGAATTATCAATTGCAAATGTTAGATGCTACAAAAAGGAGCTGACTGGCCAAATTTGAAGGATGTGCTTCGTCTAGGGAGCGAGAAAATTTATTTTTAGTTCTCAATACATTTCTTTGTATTTTTCACGCGCGTCACGCACTGATGACCCCGGAAATGATAACGAAATGTATTGAAATTACAAAGAAATGTATGGAGAACTAAAAATGAGTTTACTCGCTCTCTAGATCAAGTACGCCTTTCAAATTTGGCCAGTTAACTCCTTTTTGCAGTATCTAACGTTTGCAAATGATAATTCTTTCTGAATTTGAATTCAGCGAGAATTATTTGACATCGATTTCCCGGTCATTCCTTGTTATTTTGCGACACTATGCCTACCGGTCCAAAATGGCGGACAAAACCGTCACCTCATCTATTGTCAAGTATTTATCTCTAGGATTCAACCACAACATTGAAGCACCACCACTGCATGAGTACTTCCTTGCTACAACTTAAAACTACAATMGTTGGCAAAATTCCAGCGAATTTCCTTATTCCAAGTAACACCTGCAGACAATTTCACAACCATCCGAAACAAGACCCAACATTGACAGAAGTACATGAGATGCTTGCTTTGTCACATCGTTTTCTGCTATCTTATTGTACTTCTGACATTGATGAAAGGGGGCTAAAGGGGAGAACTGTGAAAAAATAAAGGAAAAAAAAATTGGTCTGGAGACAAATAATAGTTCAAGATATTTTGACAACGATTGTAGATGGTGAAAAATCGAGATTTTTCCATCGATAGATGCCGAATATTTAGTTTGATAAAGAATGGAAAAAAAAAAGACGTTGAAAACAGCTACTATTAGCTAGCTTTCTCTTGTTTCACGCGGTCGAAGGAAGACAATTTCCTCGTAGCATCCAGCAATCAATCCTGATTGCTCATCAAACTGCGGTCTATCGTGAAAGACCATTGTCATAATCGACCTATATTTCAATTATTTTTCTCATTTCAAATTTATCCCGCACAGTTTGGTGGAAACCAAAACAATAGCACTCCAAGTTGGTCGACCTTGTTTTCTACTTGATAATTATATATTGAGCTTCTTTTTTTTCAACTAGTGAAATTTAATATCTACAAGAGAGGCTTTCTACAGTTGACTATACAATGGTAAAGTTCTGTGTCAATACTCTGACACGACCCATTCATTTTTTGTGACAAAGTCGTCAATAACTTCCTTTAGGGCTAAGTTAGGGATRAGCTGCTCTTGCTTGAGGTCGGTTCGTGTAACAGGATCAAAATGGCCAACGCGCTGAAAACAAATAAGATGGCTTAAAATGAAAAATATAACAACAACTCTAACAACAACAGCAGCAACAAYAACAATAACAACAACAGCAACAACAACGATTAACAGCATCAACAGCAGTAACAATAGCCTCAGTAACAACAACACTGCCAGCTGAGCAGCAGCAGTAACAATAGGAACAACAGCAACAACAGTAACACTACCAGCGCAAACAACAACAACAACAACAACAGCGACAACACCAACACAATAATCATCGTTATCGCAAGTTTTCGTCTGGTTGGTAACATTAAAATGTGCAATGGAACATAATTTTCCAATCGAAATACAAAGGAACGTACCCTTGTTCCAGAGGTTTCTCTGTGTTATTCTCTGTGAATAACACAGAGAAACCTCTGGAACCAGGGTAAAAGGAACGCTAAAATGTTAAGAATATAAAAATCTCTCAATTCTTCAAAAAAACTCTTTTAATTCGGACTAATTTTATGTGAAAAAGGGAATAACAATGCAAACACAAAAATAGTGGTATACATCATCATCATCAGTATCATTGTTATTTTAAACATTATCAACAATACATACTAAAACATATGAGATATAAAAGCTCTCAACTTATCGTGCAACATTGCTTCCGTCTAGTAGGAGTCGATATTTCTCGTTTTTCAACATGGCAACTTGTCGCGCGCGCGGCAAAAAAACAGCCGTGAAATACGAGAACTTCAGCAGCAACAACGCTTCATGACACGTTAAGGTTTTGTCTTCTATTTATCTGCGTTTACCTGTAAATGATCTTCAATTACTTTTCTATCATAGCTGATACATGCATTAAGGAATAACTGATGGAATGAGAATTATCAAGCTACAAGTTGTGCGTGAATCGTTCTCGATTATTTGACTGAAAAATAAATTTATATTCATGTCAATGAAATAAAATAAAAGATTCCTCCAAGTAAAAAGGATACGTTATTCCACTTGGCGTGATCACAGGATCTTTCATTATTTCAAAGCTAATCCTTCCACAAAGGACATCAGGGACTTCTCTTTTCTGTAAAAGTTGAAATGGAATGGGAACAGACGACAAATTCAGAGTGCCATAGTTCTAGGAAAAACAGCTTTAAAGAACAATAAAAATCTCAAAAATCACTAACCTTTCGCTTGTCATCAACCTGAGTAAAAAGCTCATTGAGTTGAGATATTCGTTTTTCCTTTAAAGAAAGAAGAAAATTATTCTCAAATGATATTCATTGGAAGCATCAACATGTATTTTACATTTTACTTACAGCTTCAAGTTCAATATTTTGTATGTTTGTTGCATCTTCGTCACCTTTATCTAAAGCAGTATTTATTAATCTGCAAARTAATGATAAATTATTACTACATTGGATACACTGARTGCAAATGAAACCTGGCTCTTTTTCGRGTTTTGGCTTCAACTACAGCCTCAATCACAATGAATCATTGTAAGATAATGTTTAAGCATTAAAAKATATTTTCTGTTTCCAATCTAGTTTCGAGATAAAAATCAAGACAACTAGTTCCAAATAATCTAGTTTGTTAGTAAAATGCAGGATCTTTGAGCTTGTGATACAAAGCCTTTCCAAAAGTTCTTCTACATGTTTCTAASTAAAGATTGGAAACATGAAAAGGTAGTATTAATGTTTTTATAAAATAACAAAAACTCTGAGCAAGGATGGCCGAGTGGTTAAAATGCCAGTCTATCACTGCTGTGGTCCTGGTTCGATTCCCAGTCTGGAACTATATGTGATTTAAGTTTGTAAGCTGTTTCTCTTCCTTGCTCCGAGGGTTTTTTCCCAGGTATGCTGGTTTTCCTCCCTCTGTCAAAAACTAGCTGTGAGGAGCGTTGTGTAGTAAAATTATAATAAATGTTGAGGTAGTGAGTCTGAGTGACTATATAGAGGACCACAAGTTTACTAGTCTAGAGACTATTACGTGCTACCCTCTCAAAATAAAAGAGTATTTATTTATTTTATTTATTTATTCTTTGCTTAAAATCTGCTTTTCARTGCTCTCATAGATCACAGTTTTTGCCACATTTCAAACAATTAGTGCACAGGTTATTTATATCAACCATATTCCAACCTTTCTTTATCATCTAGTATCAGCCTGTTTAAATATTTCTGTAGTTCTGATTCCTGAGCTATTCTCTTCTCCTCTGCAACTGCAAACCTCTGATTTCAGAAAATAAAAAGTGTTAGAAAATAGCATATTCAACTGTAATCAGGGCTGTATCTAAACAAAAACAACAGATGGGGCAATGGATTGTTTAGCATAACCCGATTCAAACATAATTATTAGAGGGCGACAAAAATTTTATTAGAGGATAATTCCTTTTCTTGCTCCATGTTACGGCAATGATAACAAACTGATACATGGTCTGTGTATCAGTATCACAAGCTAGATATTTTCAACACTTGAAGATAAAATTTGTATCTCCAAGCAACCATGTGATATTCTGTTTATCAAATAATTATATATGAAAGCCAATTATGTTTTAAAATAATTTTTATTTACCTCCAATATATCTCTATATATTGGAGGTAAATAAAAATTATTTTAAAACATGAATGTGTTTACTTTACGTAATGGAGAAATACAGATTACGTAATGGAGAAATACAGGTATTTTGTAGATAATTATATAATAAAAGTGCATACCACTACTTGTATTACCTTTTTCTTTGCAAGCCTGTAAGTACTGGCAATATCATCTCCAAAATTGAGCTTTTGTTCCTTTGCTAGGTCAAAAGCTGAAAACAAAGTTCATGAATTTTAATGTGAATAACAAACACATCTGCATTAACTTCTCTGGAATACATTTTTAACACCCAAATGTCCAACAGTCTAAAGGTATGCATTTCTAACAAGAAAGATTGAGAAACTTGAAGATCAATTTTATCCAATATTTTGGATTTTTTTCCTTGCTTTTTCCCTCTAAAGTTTGATATACATTTAGTATATATCAGTTCCCAACAGAAAATCAAAGTCTCTGCTTGGAGACGAGTGAGTCTTTGATTTGATTGGTTAAAAAAATCATCAGTATTCATATATCATACGACCCAGATTCTAGGTCTTCCAGTATCATCTCCATGGCAACCAGATCCTTCAATTTTCTACTGGGAACTGAGAAGGATCTGGGTATGAGATGGTTTGATATACTGTAATGCATGGTGTAATAACATAAAAATCTAGACGACATATGTGTGGTGGATAATTAACTGACGAGTAGATAGCTTCATCCCACTTCAACCAGACTAACCTCTCACTYAAGTAACCAACTACATGTATTTTATAATGTTACACCTGTAGTTACCTCTTTTCAAAGCAGCAACGGCTTCATCAAAACACTCTTGTTCCAGAAGAGCTTGTCCATGAAAGAAATGACCCTTAACAAGGCTAGCATCCAAATCCAGTGCTTGTCGACAATCTAAAATTGCCTGATTCCATTTTTTGAGTTTAAGGTGACACAGTGCACGATTTGTGAAATATGTTGGTACTGTGGAGTTCTTGATCTGTTGATGTAGAATTTATTTTATCTATTTATTTTATTTCTTGGCATTTTATTGTATTAGATACTAGTATTAATTTACAAAAACCAACCAACACTCCAACCAACCAACCTACAAACTTATCAACCAAGCCAACCAACCAATCAACCACCTAACTAACCCAGCAATACTCTAACCAACCTACCAACCAACTAACCAACCAACCACTTAAGCAACCAACCAAGCAATACTCTAACCAACCAACCAACTAACCAACCTACTAGCCAACCCACCCACCAACCAACCCACCAACCCACCCACCCACCAACCAACCAACCCACCTACCTACCTACCAACCAACTAACCAACATTTCAAAACTGCCTACACCGTAGGCTGCAAATTAAGTTTATATTTTGTAATTCATTTGGTAATTAATTCATCAGAGCAGCTATTAGTTTATCACAAGTTTGTGACTCATTTCTCTGTTTCTGAACTGAGAATTTATCTCCAATAGAATTTTTTGTTTATATTTTTGTAAAAAAAAAAAAAAAATGGTAATAGAGGAAAATTCCATGAATTCCAATTAACACATCTAACCACTTTTCATTCATTATTGATTTGTGAAAAATCCATTTTGTAAAATACATAAAAAGAATGGTAATAATCTTTGAATATTTTATAGAAAAGCTAATGTCTTTTAACTGAACAAAATGAAGTTGGAATAATAATAATATCATTTGGGGTTATAGCGAGGCGAAAGAAAGCAGAAAGTCTAATTGACTATTACGTATTTGCTATTAGATTTTGGTTAATGCTCAATTACAAATAACAAATCAATAGGCATAAGAAGTGACCACAAACCAGCATTTGTTACTGGATTATTTGTAATAAAAAACCATTCACCATAATGTAGACACAATAAATATAAATTCTCTTTTATTTTGATGTCAACTTCAGGAGTAAATTTGCAAAAAAATGAAGTCATTTTTTATCAATTTAAAGGRGACAAAATACTTTCTAGCAAGTTCTCTTGGGATAAAGTTGTGTTATACAGTAAGGTTACTTACATTTTTTTCCATATGTAAAGAGAAAAAAAGGTCATTTCCTCGTTCATAAAATAAACAAGGAATTCCAAAATCTGCATCTCACTCAGATAATTTCGTAATTTACAAAGCTTACCTTAGGCCTTAAGCTTACTACATAGTGAAAAAAGAATAATTTCAAAATGAAGGATTCTTGTAGGGTGTAATTTAGGTGTTTCTGATAAAACTACGGTCATAGATAGTGTCATTTYCAGGGTAAAACGCAAAGCAATAACACAAAGCAATACCACAAAACAGTTCAGTTATWATATTTACACGTATTCTGACAGATTTTAAGTTAAGTATAATGAAACACACTTACAATCGCCTTTGTGTAGCACTGAATTGCGTCGTCATATTGCTTGGCCCCAAACAAGCGATTGCCCTGATCTTTGAGCTCGACGGCGCTCATGGCCTTAACAGTTCAAAAATCCAATAAATCACAATAATTTGCCGCAAATTATTAAATATTTGCAAGTGTATTTTGTAGAAAATCCGGCATCAGCGCTGACATAGCAAGATTTTGAGCACAGTATGTGGGGAATGACCGCTGTACTGCATATACTGTCGTCGTCGATGTAAACAGAAAATTTCATAAACATTTTACCTGATTTTTTATTTTTTTCCTTCATGAAAAATAGTATATCAAAAAAAATTGCGATAAAAAATGTAATAGTWACAATAAAGACAAAAACGCTATGAAATATTGTTTTCAAATTGGAAAATGGTAGAAAAGAGAAATACAAAGTCATTAGTAATTGTATAATCTATGGATTTTGATTTTTTTGAATAGATCCAAAAAAATATAAACTATCCTCCAGTCCTGATATTATAAAATGTTTATAGGAAGTATAGTAGAGAATGAAGATCTAATGCGTTGAGTCAAGTACTCAGTCTTCTCGCGGACTAATTTTACAGCTCAAGGGACGCCTGTCAGTATTTGCATATTTTGTGACTGTGGACCATCGAGAATTTATCAACATTTTATACATCTATTCCACAGTAAGATAAATACAGGTCGTTAAGATAGATACAAMACTTGCTTTGAGAATATTCGTGTTCAATTTAARCTGAATTACCCATGGAAATTAGTTGAAGAAGGAGAAATTTCACGATTTGTTGTGACGACAGCTGGCTGTCAAACCTAACCCACAAGAAGAAAAATGCTCATTTTCGACTTCAGCAGGTACAACTACGTTGTTTATTAAACYATGAAGGTTTCCGTTGTAATTTTTACTTTCAGATATCAAGACTGTAAATAAGAATAATGTTGTAGGTTGTATCTATAGAGTCTATAGACTTGTTATATTTAAGTATGTTTTTTTTCCGGTTTTACCAGAAGATACCAGAATACTGACGAAAAAAGCTTTTTATACGAGCATGTAAGATGCCATTTAGCCTACTTAACAATTGTAATAATAATGCGTATTTTGATTGAGTAGAAAAAGTTGCTTTGCTGGCAAGAACATTGTCGTGGGAAAAGGAATCATTGATATTTTAGTGGGATTTCTTTAAAATATAAACGGAGTTCCCCTCGGCTGAAAGTTCCCCCTCGGAGTGAGCTTCAGCTATTCCGTTTTCCATGTATTGCTATACTAGTAAAATTCAAATGTTAACTTTTTTAGTACAACAACAGGTCCAACAGTACTACAAGTTGGTGTTGTGAATGTTAAAATCATATTTTAGGAACTACATGATGTCCACTTAATTGTTAAAGAATTAATTGTTTAGTTGAATCATTCAAGCTTTACTAGCCAACTCTGTCAATAATCATTATTAGATACAAAATACTATAGTCCTTGATTACTAGAATTTAGTGATGGATTATTAATGAATAAATAGATAGGAATTATGAATGAATGGACAGACAGACAATGGATGGGAATAAACGGATGGACAGACAAATGGTAGACAAATGCATGGATAATTGAATGAATGAATGATGATTAAATAAATAAATTATAGTGTTAATAAATAAACGAGTGGTTAATTAAAACCTAAAAATTTTGTAGAAAACTTAAACAATTTTATCTCTGACTGTAAGTACTTGCTACAAATTGCTATCTTGTATGGTTATGTGTCTAGATTTAGAAATCCACCAGCTAAGCCAGGTGAAGCATATCAACCAACAGTTTATGAACATATTGCTAATATAATAACGCATGGGGTATGTTTGTCAATGTTGTTCATGTTGTTCATATCTTGATCTAATATATCTTGATGTATTATCTTTCTATCAATTTATCCAATGTTTTTCCTCTCCTCTCCTCTCCTATTTAATTCTGTCCCATTTCATTTGTCTGTTTTTATTTTCCCTCTCCCACAATTTGTAATTGACATTCAAGATTGTCCAATTTAGATTTGTTTTTCTTCTTTTCAGTTCTTTGTTATACCAGCATTTCAAGCTTTACAGACTTTGGATCACCTGGCTCATGATAAATCATACAGCCACAAAGTTATTGCCTGGGTCTATGGTGTAACTCTTATCCTCATTTTTTCAATATCAACTTTTTTTCATGTAATCAGCTTGAGTGGGAGATTTAGGTAAGTGATTGAACAAGTACAAAATTTTGAGGGTGCCTGATGAACTCGACAATTAAACAAGGAGAACAGAAAGAGAAAATGTTATTCAATGGAAATAAATAGAAAAAGAACAATAAAGGAAATTCCCAATCAATCATTTTTTTCATAGCAATGACTTGGTTTTTGTTCAATGTATCAGAGATCATTTTCTTTTTTAGATATCTTCGGTTTATTCTTCATTTATGTGATAGAGGAATCATTTATTTTTTCATTGCTGCTTCTTATATGCCATGGTAAGTAGATCATGCCATAGAGAGGGACAGGTTTTCCCTCACCTTCCCCTTCTCCCACTTTTTGTGAAAATGAGATCAAGACCATTGAGGACGGAGGCACAGCCATGATAAATGGCTACGGTAGATCCATCCTCCACTTTAAACACTGCTGTACCGTCCCTGCATGCCGACATGGCCAAAAAGTAAAAGATGAAAAGAATGATCAAAAGAAATTGAAATAGAATGTATTATTTAAGTCATGTTTCATGTTGTTCTTGATATACTGTTTATGCTGTCAGGTTAGTTTTAAAAGATGTTGGTGTGTGGGGAGACACATTTTCGTGGCTCCTTTGGGTTGGAGCAGTTCTTGGTACACTTTATAATTATCTATTTCATGAAAAGTAAGTATTTATTACAATTATACCAATTCTGTATGGGTGTGAAAAAGAATGCCCGTTAATGCAATTGATGCAATATAGTATTATAATTGACAATTATGATTTTCTCCTATATTTGTATGCACTATCAGAACTATCTGCTCAGATGTAAAGCACATTAATGTTACAAAGTTCTCAGTCTCTAACTCACTCAAAAAAAAATTGTCAATGAAGAGATAGTGGCAAGTGTAAGGTGGCCTACTGTAATTTGTCCCAAGTCAGGGCTGCTATTGTAGCACAATCAAGCTGATTCAGGTTTTGATACTTGCAGATATAAAACCCTTGAAACTATATTTTATTTGATGTTTGGAGTTCTTCCTTCGATACCTCTAATTTTTCAGGCGGTAAGTTAACCTTCACTTTGCATTATCATAAGGGGGGGACTTCCCTATAAAGCATGGTATAAAGTATGCTCGAGGAAAGGATTGAAAAATGACCCTAAAAGGTACGCATAAATTAAGTCAGGTATCGATTCCAGACCCTAAAAGGTACGAGCATTTTTGACGTCTTTAACAAGAGAAAAGCTCAAGTTTAAAAAACTGTAGAAAATCAATGTGGATAGATTGTTGAGCTTAATAAATTCTATTTCTTTATTAAAAGTTCCTCAATTTTTTCCCGTTGTTTCGAAAAATGACCCCAAAAGGTACGGAGTCAGCTCAGGACCCAAAAAGGTACGCGAGGGTTATATTTTCGACCCTAAAAGGTCCGTCGAGCATACCTACCATGCTTTATAGGGAAGTTCCCCCCCGGGGTTTTTTCATGTTATGACCAGAGGTTAAATCACGACTCACGGCCCTCATTTTCCCTATCATTTTATATTTTCTAC